TTTTTTTTCTTGAAACGGCAAACTGTACCTTGTAACACCTCATTGGAAAGAACATGAAAAACTAAGAATTCGAGCGCAAACCGCAGATTAATATCCTAACTTTTGACCGAGTTATATTAGGTCAAAAGTCACATTTGACCTATATTCAAGAAATCATAACTCCCGGTCATTTTGATAATTTTCTGTGACATTTCCCGGTTTTCCTTAACGTTTTGTAATGGGCCTGTTGCAAACTTTTGCTAGAGCAAAACTAAGGGTTGTCTCATATGGATAATGCCTTAAAAATCACGATGAGCGCATCGGCAAAGTCTGAAATGCACTTATAACTTCACAATCTGCGTAAGAAATTTGCGTTTTTTTGAGCTTCCCGCTTCAAAAACGATACTACGGCACAGGTCAGGTGAACATTTTGCTAGAGGAGTCGTTCCATTGTCGGCAATATTCATCATGACCGACGCCAATCCGCCACAACACGTGTGATGGGACGAGATAACACCTGACAAGTATAAGACCAGATAACAATCGGCGTGTTTACGTTCATATTTCCTTCGCCTACCTTGATTGACCTTGAACTCTCCTCGAATTACGCGCGAAACTGTGGGAGCGTCGGCTGTGATGAATACTGCCGACGATGGAGCGACTCCTCTATCAAAATGTTCACCTGTGCGGTAGTATCGTTTTTGAAGCGGGAATCTAAAAAAAACGCAAATTTCTTACGCAGATTGTGAAGTTATGAGTGCATTTCAGGCTTTGCCGATGCGCTCATTGTGATTTTTCAGGCATCATCTATGGGAAACAACTCTTATCTTTGCTCGAGCAAAAGTTTGCAACAGGTCCATTACATGACATTTCCCGGTTTTTCCTGACTGTAGCAATCTTGCTTTCTGCTCCTGGGTGGTTGACGTAATTTATGGACGGACCCTAACCTGCCAAATACTCTCTATTCGGTACACCTTATTTACTTCTTTAAAAAATCATTAAGTTTTGAGTGTCTATTCAATAAATTTCTCCTCTCGTCACTCGCCTGATACACACAAAAATTTGCTACATGCAGTCACTACAGTGCTTACGTCTCCCCAGAAGTCGCTTACGCTCTTCATTTACAGCAAGGATAAATTAATTGAAAAGAATGTGAAAAGGAGAGTAAACTGAAAATTTGAACAAAATAAAATACCTGTCTAACATGACACTCTAGATCTCTAATAGGGTTACAAGGGGGTAGTTCAGTTGCATCACTTGTGCTAGCAATTCGTTGTTTGGAGGGCCGCGGCGAACTGGCTCGTGAACCTGAACTTGGCGACCGCATTGCAGACAAGATGTCCAAAAAATCTTCTTTGAAAGATCTCGCTCTTCTCGCCAATTTTCCGCCCCGTGCTGTCCTAGGTGTACCTTGTTCAGAGGTACCTGGAAAATAAAAAACGAGCGCGTTAGCTCAATGATTCGATCAAGATGAAATCGATGCAAATATTAAGGCCCCGTTTGAGACTAAGATGAACACTCCGGGCGGCGCCGGGCCCGGTTTTTCGTTCTTTGGTGTTCTTCGTTAGGGGCGAGTTCTAATGGACGCCGTTCTGGTGCTAGCAGCCGTTCGCAGCGCAACCTCAGGTAGTATCCTCGTAAACTTAAAGAATCCTTCCCCCGAACCTCGACCCATCCATCGCCCGCTCAAAAAGTGAGGCTAGGCGCTGAGCCGATAATAGGGGAGACCAGGGACTGTTGTAACGGATTTGGGAAAATTGCTCTAAATTGCTTACTATATAATAAAATTTCGTAATTTTTTTTTATCACAGCCTCTTGGAAGGCTTACTTTTGAAAATGATGGTCCCTTTAAATTTTCTTGAAATTTTTGACGCATTTTAAGGACTTTGAAAAAATTTCGATTTTGTTACAACCGTCCCAGGCCTAGGGTCGATTGTAACAAGGGCAGGGGCGGTTGTAACAAAACTTAAGAATCGGAGTAATTAACTTTAAAAAAAAGATTTTACCACTATTTTTGGTCTGCAAAAAATTTTGACCTCCCACACTCCAAAAAAATAAGAACTACCTATCAAACCGGAGGGGGGGTCTGCGTCTGAAATTCAGATTTGCTTGAAAAATGAAAAAGCAAGAAGCTTTTCTGCAAGAAAATTGATCAAAATGGTAATCATATTTATAAGTCTTGGTACCCATGACCCCCCCCCCCCCCCTCCGTTTGGAAATTTCTCTTTGGAAAATAAATAATTTAATTTAATTTAATTAATTAATTAAATTAAATTATTTATTAATAAATAAGTGTTAATAATAATTATTAATAATAATTTATTATGATGATTATTATTATTAATTATAATTATTGTTATTAATAAGTATGTTGTTATTTATTATTAATTAATTATTTATTTTTAATAATTTAGTAACAATTTTTAATAATTTAATAATAAACTTTAACACCAAAATTGTAACTAATACTTCGGTACCTAGCATCAAATATTGCAGTAAAGTAGCACGTTAACATTGACATAACCTGTGAGTTAGCTTGTTACAACTGTCACCGGTCTCAGTGTTACAACTATCCCCCGCCCCACTTATTTTTGAAAAAAATCAGTGCTGCCACTCACTGTGCAGAAAGGATAAAACATTCTGACCAAAATGTACCTTAAGATACGATCTAATAACTCATTTAAAAAGTTCACCGTTGATATTAAACCCCTGGTCACAAATCCGAAAATGGTTTTTTTAAACTTGCGCCGGAACAGCCCTGAAAATGGTTCAATTTCTATAATGTGTCGTCCTTTGAACAAAAATTGCTCCATCGAGTTGAAATTCAGGACAGTTAGTCACAGTTAGTATAGGAACAATACACTATACATATTTTACGGTCTCGCCAATCACAGCGCCACCAATCGGACCTGTTACATTTGACCCCTGTTTCAACTGTCCCCGGTCTCGCCTACCGCACAACAAAGAGGGTTATTCAAAATCGGCCATTTTATCCAACGCTTGGATTTTGCCCGGAGTTGGATATGTTGTTCCCTATCGCAAGACACGCCTTTGTCCGGCATTGACAAGTTCACCCGAAATTTTTCCCGCGCGCTACAGCGTTGCCAAGTTGAAAAAAGGCAAATTCCGTAAGTGGCATTAAAATTGAGCTATGAAGTTGCGGTTTTAACGAAAATTCTCTAAAAATTACGCACTTTTAGGAAATGACCATATTCTTAATGTCGCATTAATTTTAACATGCATTATTGCCAAATTTCCGATTTTTAAATTCGACAAATGTCACATATCCGCAAATACCCAAAAAAGCTATCTTCAAATTTGAATAAAAAGTTGTCTAATCGATAGTTCGTTTGATTCCGTATCCATCGATATACCGGGTGTCCGTAAAGTAACTGAAAAGTGTGTATAATTTTTGAACAAAAAAAGATAGAAGGTTGCGGTTTGTAGATTTCTTCATTAGGCAACTTTTAAAAGTCAAATAGCAACCCCCATTTTTTTAGACATGGTTAGAAAGAACTTGAAAAGACAAGGAGAATGGCGAAAACAAAATTAAAATCGGTTCACTCGCTCAAAAGTTATAGCCGGTCAAAATTTTAAATTGACCACTTTTCAAAAAATCGCCGTTGAGCTCCAAATTATCGGAAAAACAAAAACAAACCAGGAATGAAAAGTTTGAAAAGTGCCTTTTAGGAAAAGGAAAAACAACTGACGTTGTCAGAAGTTTAGATGGCATTGTTTCAAAATACAATTTTGGAAAATTCAACATGGCGGCAAATTTGAGGAGACGCGAAAAATGAAAATTCCAGAAACTTTTATCTTTCAAATACCCTCTAGTTTAAGGAAAACAAAGGTATCACCTTTAATTCCTTTATTTGGCCAAGTAAGAGCAATAATTTGCTGACTTTAAAATAGTCAAGCGCGGCGCCTTCAATCGTTGGAGTATGCAAGATCACAGGATTAAGTGTGCTGTCAAAATATGAAGCCGATGTGAAAAAGCGCTCCTCCTTTGGGATGCGTCAGAAATTTTTAAAGGTCCTCCTCCTTAAATTTGACGATAAAATAAAGAAAAGAAAAATTGAGCAATTTCTACCCATAAACTTGGCGAGCCAAAAAAACATGGTTTATCCTGATGGAGTAGGGGCGATTGACATTTCTGACATTTCTCTCTCTGAAAATTAAAAATCCAAGAATAATTTTAATTCTCTAACTTCTGGCACTCCTAATTGGCAAGGAGGATACCTGCTGCGCTTTCAATTCCGAAAACGCCGTTCTACACTTGATTATTATCTGAGTTGAGATTATCTTATTGACAGTCTCAAACTCACGATTTGAGGCACCGATCTTTTAGGTAACATCTGATGCACTACCTGATCGGTGACACTATTTACGAAGCTGAAATCAGTATGCTAAGTTTCCTTGATCATACCGAATTCTGATTTAGTTTGCAATTATCAGATTATTCTCGATTTACGGTAACACTACTGTTTCCACTTTCCACCGGACTTTTATTTGTTTTAAACTTGGTGTCTAGTCATTTGACGAATGAAGTTGTAAAATATTAATTGGTTTTAATTAATAGGGCTTACTTTTGCTGCTTTGGAAGAGGACCTTGAAAATTTCTGACGCATCCCAAAGGAGGAGCGCTTTTTCACATCGGCTTCATTTTTTGACAGCACACTTAATCCTGTGATCTTGCATACTCCAACGATTGAAGGCGCCCCGCTTGACAATTTTAAAGTCAGCAAATTATTGCTCTTACTTGGCCAAATAAAGGAATTGAAGGTAATACCTTTGTTTTCCTTAAACTAGAGGGTATTTGAAAGATAAAAGTTTCTGGAATTTTCATTTTTCGCGTCTACTCAAATTTGCCGCCACATTGAATTTTCCAAAATTTTATTTTGAAACAATGCCATCCGAACTTCCGACAACGTCAGTTGTTTTTCCTTTCCCTAAAAGGCACTTTTCAAACTTTTCATTCCTGGTTTGTTTTTGTTTTTCCGATAATTCGGAGCTCAAAGGCGATTTTTTGAAAAGTGGTCGATTTAAAATTTTGACCGGCTATAACTTTTGAGCGAGTGAACCGATTTTAATTTTGTTTTCGCCATTCTCCTTGTCTTTTCAAGTTCTTTCTAACCATGTCTAAAAAAATGGGGGTTGCTATTAACTTTTAAAAGTTGCCCCCCCTGGGGCCCCCTTGGGGGGTCCACCAAGAAAAATCCCCCCATCGAAAAATTTCCCCCTTTCAATGATGAAGAATTACACAAAGCGCAACCTTCTATCTTTTTTTGTTCAAAAATTATACACACTTTTCAGTTACTTTACGGACACCCGGTATTATAGCTCGCTGGGAAACTTTTGGTTCGCGAGATATCATCATTTTTGTGAACAGCTTCATGGAGCGACGACGCTTTTTGAGTCCGGGCGGATAGAAATTTTAGCCTCCAAAAACAGCGGGTAGCATTAATTCTATGGTTTCCTATGTAATTTTTGGCGCTGAATCCGAATTTGACCATTTCATAAAAAAATTGTCACCAAGATGTTGCCAAATTTGGCAAAAATTGCTTAAAATCGGCCTTTTTGGCGGATTATAGCCTGTGACTTGCCAGGAGTTGATCAGACGACAAAATTGGTTATTTCCACAGTTAAAACTCGTTAAACTATCTACAAACTGAGTCAAATTCTTTCTGCTCACGGTAAAATTAAACGCGCGACAAGCAGCAAACTGAAAAAAAGACACCAAAATTGGCGCTTTTTGCGGTTTTTGTCGTAAGTTTCTTGTTTTCCGGTTAAGAGAATGTTTCTTGACTATACTAATGAACAACATGAGCAGAATTTAATAAAATTGAACAATGAAATAAAATCGAACATATTCCAATGTTGCCAAGCTTAAACAAAATACTTTAATTTTCGCTGGTTTTCTCGATATTATTGTCCTATATTCTTCGTTAATCTCTTATTTTAAATTTTATAAATGTATCTCTCTTGCAAAATAATACACTTCTGTAGAATAATTTAATTTTCAACTTAGATATATACTAATAACTAGGGTATTTTGTTCAGAGAGGAAAAATTCATAAAATAGTGAGTTTTATCGAATCGCGTCAATTGAACACATTTTGAAACAATAATGGAAAATTTTCTGCTAAAAATTAATGAATAAAATGTACTCCTCAGACTGACTTCCTTAAAACAAGACAAGACGCATTGCAATATTGCCAAAATTACGTACAATCATTGAATTTTGGCGGTATTTGACCGTTATTATTCATCACCCTATATTTAGTATACAATTTTATTTTATAATTCTGAGATAATGGAGTTTAATAGAAAAAAGTAACAACACCAAACTGAAGAAGACGCCCAGGAAAGGACAATAAGGGGCTTAAAAAGGAACAAGGGCGCTCCAAATTACTGAGGACCTGTGG